GCAGCCCCACCTGGATGATACAACAGCAGCCATAATTAGCCAGAACCTAACCACACACCAGCTATCAGTGGGGAGGAGAACAGAGTGATGAAACCAATTCACAGATGGGGATTATTAGGAGGCCATGATTGGTAAAGGCCAGTGGAAAATTTGGACAGGATACTGGAGAAACACCCAGGGATTTTTAATGAGCAGGACCTTGGTTTTTACATCTCATCTGAAGGACGGCGCCTTTTTACAGTATAGTGTCCCCGTCACTATACTGGGGCATTAGGACCCACACAGACCGCAGGGTGAGTGCCCCCTGCTGGCCCCACTAACACCTCTTCCAGCAGCAACCTTAGTTTTTCCCAGGAGGTCTCCCATGCAGGTACTGATCAGGCTCACACCTGCTGAGCTCCAGTGGGCTGCCAGTTGGTCAAGAGTCTTCTCTGTGACTGAGGAAACCTGTATGCACGCCCTGTGCTGGATCTCCTGCAGACAGAGAGACAGCGTGGCGTGCAACACACCACAACACCAAGCACGAGTACAGCAGAGCCTGTCAGCTGAGCCCTGTGCATCATGCACACTTATACTGACACTTATACTGAAGCACAGGGGAAAAAAACAGTTCCCTCAGTGCTTGAGGGATACTCATTTTAGTCTGGCTGGGTAACCGAGTACAATGGCATCAGCACCTCTCTCAGATGTACTGCATAAATTGGAAAAAGTCCAACTCTGCACCATATTCTTCAAGGCACGATAACTAAACCCTTCAATCCGATTGTCTTGCTCATGCTTGAACAGACTCAGGTATCCAGCGTTTAGCTGTACAACAAGCTGGGGGTGACTGAAGCAAAAAGTATTCGAGCTAGTAGAACCCTGTGTTCTTTACTTTGGTAAAGTACCCTGTATTATAGTTTGTGAATGAGCAAACCTATCCATGTGTTTTAATTACAGAGCATAAAAGGTTTTCTGTTTTTAAAACCTGTGGGTGTTTTTTAAGTGTCCCCTTGCTTTCCAATTTTTAAATGCGTTTCTTCAGTGCTCCCTGCTAATGAAATTCAGTTGTCCCGTGGCTGAGGTTGGGAAGCTCATATGATTATGCACTTAGGGCAGGAAAGTTGGATCAATCTTTATTTTGTATTCATTTAACAGATTGTTTATGGATTTCGTTCATTGCTCGGTGCCATTCCCATTTGACTTTATACCCTGGGGCAGCAGTAAGAGAAAATCTTTTGCAGCTTAGAGGATTTTATTAGGCTTAAACAGCAACCTTTTCCAGCACTGGGTCTTGATCTGACAATGAAAGCTTAACAGAGGTCTACAGTGCTTTTCCCCTTCTGGGAGTAGATCACGAAGGAGTGGAAGGTGAGTAGATCCACACAGACCTGATCTTAAAAAATATTTAAGAAGGGATCTGCACTAATATAAAATATCAGTGCTGCAGCCACAGTGACTTCTGGTTTTTATTCCACTATGGACTGTTAATGACTTGATTTGAATCAGTTGTTTACTTAATTGGTCTTCATTACCATTGTTTCAGGACTTTTCTCTCCAGGGATTATAAATTACCTAGAAAGTCTTGTGGACTGCAGCTCTCCAAGTCCAGGATTAGTGTTTTCTAAGAAACAATTGTCTCTATTGTGCTTGATCTAAAATCCATCATCCATATACCAGTTTTAACAGGAATGTTTTTTAAATCTTCTGTATTATACCAAACAACATTTCGGTATAAAAACCGGACTGGTCTTTTTATAAAATTTTCTGAATACAACCCTACTTTTAAATACATTTTCTTCTTCCATTAAAGCCAGATGGATTTTCCAGTCTGCAGAGTTCCCAGGCTACGTTTTCTGAAGTTCTGGATATACAGTAAATAAAAAAGCTGATTTTTCTCTTTGCTGTCATTTCTCATTTCTGGGTGTGTCATCCCTGCGGAAGAAACAAAAAAAGAGACAATTCATGAGAAATGATGTATTCTTAAAATTCTCCACTACGCAAAGCACGAAGTAGTTTGGCGTTCAAGGCAACAAGATGTTCAGCAAAATCTCAGATAAAACTGTGCAGCCAGAGTAAATTTGGACATTTTCTCTAATATTGTGTTAATCTCAGGCCAGCACACTTAATTCCAATTAATTAAAAACAGGTTCCCACCAGAGAGTGGATAGTGCATGGAAATCTAGGAAGGATATAAAATTGTCCTTTCCTTCTAACGCAGTCCATAAATGTAGCATTCATCATCATGCCATTTCCCTTTACTTTCTCACAGTTTTAACAGGAATGTTTTTTAAATCTTCTGTATTATACCAAACAACATTTCGGTATAAAAACCGGACTAGTCTTTTCATATTTTTTTTTCTGAATACAACCCTACTTTTAAATACATTTTCTAGTGCATGGAAATCTAGGAAGGATATAAAATTGTCCTTTCTTTCTAATGCAGTCCATAAATGTTGCATTCATCATCATGCCATTTCCCTTCACTTTCTCACGTATCAAGTTTTGATCCTGGTGTTGATAAAAAAAAATATTTGATTCAGAAAGGAACTTATTTTTTTTTAGAAAGGTGGCTTTCGCAGAGGAGGAGAGAGTTTGTTACACCGCAGACTCTGAGGCTGAGTAGGGACTAGTGAATACAGCCCAGTCAGTCCTGGGCACAGTGGGTGGGAGAGTGGGTGGCACAGTGAGTGGGGACAGTGGGTGGCACCATGCGATGATGCCAAGCCCCGAGCTGCAGCAGCTGGAGCAGTCAGAGAGGCGAGGTGGGCACAGTGAGTGGCACAGTGAATGGGCACAGTGACTGGCACAATAAGAAGCACAGTGAGTGGGCACAGAGCACTGCGTGAGAGAGGTGTCAGTGACTGTGCCTGGTGCTCTGGGGGCAATGATGATCTGCAGGCTACTTTAATCAGGGAGGCATTGCAGACCCTCTCCCCCCCCCCCACTCTTCTCTCTCAGGCAACACAGCTGCCCTTTTCATTCCACCCTTCACCCGTTCCTAATCCCCCTTGAAAGCCCTCGCCTCTCTGACTGCTGCAGCTGCTGCAGCTCGGGGCTCGGCGTACCCGGCGCGTGCGAGGCAGTGAACGCCACCGTCATCCATCGGAGGAGTCCTCCCCAAACCATGTCAAAGCCTCAGCCCATGTGAGCACCACGGGGGCGAGGGCAGGCCAGCAAGGCGCCTCACAATCCCATCATGCAGCAAGGTCTCACCCTACAGGGAGAGACCCCCCTGGCCAGGGCGGATGATGGGAGCTGTGTGTGTCTGAGAAACGACGGATTGAACAGAGAGGATCATGGGAGTGCCAGTCACGTCAAGTGCCAGTTCCTTATTCCTTCACTGACCTTTGGAAATGCCAGGACACTGGAAAATGCCTGTGATTCTCCAAGCATGGAAAATAACTTGGCATGTTAACCTAGTGGTATCAAAATGCTGTTATCTGCTCTACTGAATACACCACATACTGTACGCATGGAACCACTGTAGGCTGAATAGATTAATTTTTGCATTCTCATCTTAAAGGGACTTAGTGTTGTGCCTTGAGTGTCCGTATGCATTCTTTCAGCTTGAGGTGTTATTTTTATGTCCGCTCCATATTTGGTGCCCCCACATTTGCGGTTCTGAGGACGTGACTGGATGCGCTCCTTCACGCCGGATGTCTTTGAAATCAGTCCTGATGACGAAGGCGCAAGAGGAATGCTGCGGGGAACTGCGGGAGGGTTCCAGCGCAGTCAGCATACTTTTCATGTACGTTCGTGTTGTCTGGTTAGGACTCTGAGCCTCAGGAAAAGCCATTTCACTGACAGGCATGAGAATAAGAGGAGGAAGTGCTCAGGAAATCGCTGTTAAGTGGCTCCTGTGGTTTTGTGGCTTTTTTGAAAATATAACTGCTTTAATAGGGCCCTCGCAGGCTGGTATTCACCCTCGTCTTCAAGAGGAGAGAAAGAAAATCTCTTCACAGCTCAGGCTCAAGCCCCTGTGGATGGACTCTGCTCCTTGGAGCATTGCTGAGCTGTCAAGAGCTGTCTCTGCCAGACACGGAGACAGAGAGGCTCAGTTACACCTGGCAAACTCAAGAGCTCCTCTCTAGCGTTTTGTTCTTGGCTCAAATGGGGAGGACCTCAGCTGGTCCCGGATTCAAATCAAGGTTGAGAAAAACTGAATTAACAGACCCTTAATTAAAAAAATGGCAACTTCTCAAGTTTAATGGGGGACTTCTTGACATGGGATGTAAATTAATCTTCCACAATCAATCGGTGGTGCAGTGTCTCTGTGGCTAATGATCTGTACCTGTGGCTGGAAGGTTGCTGGTTTGAATCTCACGGCTGGCAGAGGAATCCTACTTAACCCCTTAACCCCAACTGCTCCAGGGGCGCTGTATAAATGGCTGACCCTGTGCTCTGACCCCAAGCTTCTCTCCCTGTCTGTGTGTCTCATGGAGAGCAAGTTGGAGTATGCGAAAAGACAAATTACTAATACAAGAATTTGTATAATGCCAATAAAGTGATCTGGTCTTATCATTGCCCAGCAGCTCAGCACAAGGAGCAGGGTTAAGAGAAATAAAACTGCATGGATACACAACTGGCCTTTTGTGTGTCCACTCAAGGAGTCTTGATTAAGGGTCGCTATAACTCTTTTTATTTTTATTGTTCTCCTCATGACCTAGAAGAACACTTGTAGTTTTCTGTTTCCAGGACAGAAATCATGGCGCATGGATTTTTGCAATCACGCACTGTGTTTAGAAAGGTATATGAAAAATGAAACTGGATTCTAAACTGAGAACTGAACTGAATAACGCTCTGCGGTTATAATGTGTTATTTGGTCTGAAAGACAGAAGATGTGTTTCTTCTACCTTCCAATTAGGTTCATGCTAGCAGAGACATGTCTGAAATGACATGAAGAGAAAAGAACTCTTTAAAATTAATTGAAGACATTGGAAGGCTAATTGTTGAGTTATTATGTACAAAATGCCTACTCTAACTCGACACGCCTTCGGCTTTCTTGTCTGCGTGCCAGGAACCTGATGCCACGGACACTGGAGGGGCAGATCACCATGGAGAAGACGCCCAGCTACTTTGTGACCAAAGAGGCCCCACGTCGCGTCTACGCCATGAACCGCGACACCAAGCTGATCGTGGTGGTGCGGGACCCGGTCACCCGGGCCGTGTCGGACTACACCCAGACGCTGTCCAAGAACCCGGGCCTGCCCTCCTTCCACAGCCTGGCATTCAAGAACGCCAGCACGGGGCTGGTCGACACGGCCTGGAGCGCGGTGCGCATCGGCATCTACGCCAAGCACCTGGAGAACTGGCTCCGCTACTTCCCGCTGTCCCGCTTCCTGTTCGTCAGCGGGGAGCGGCTGGTCAGCGACCCCGCCGGGGAGATGGGGCGCGTGCAGGACTTCTTGGGGCTCAAGCGGGTCGTCACGGACAAACACTTCTACTTCAACCAGACCAAGGGCTTCCCCTGCCTGAAGAAGCCGGAGGGCAGCAGCCGGCCCCGCTGCCTGGGGAAGTCCAAGGGGCGCCCCCACCCCCACATCTCCCCCGAGGTGCTGCGCCGCCTGCGCGACTTCTACAGGCCCTTCAACCTCAAGTTCTACCAAATGACCAGCCAGGACTTCGGCTGGGACTGACTCGGACTCCGCTGGACCTCGAGCAGGCGGCTTCGTCGCGGTGCAGGCCGGCGCCGAGCTCGTGAAGAGGCTACGCCGCCCAGAAAGACCCAGAGTGCAGGATGGGCGAAGAGGACATCACGTTTCTGTGCGAATATTGTCCCTCTCAATGTCTAATTTTTGTTGAGCAGCAGACCTGCCTTCTGCAATCGGGACAGCTGGCAGAAAAGACTTTCTGTTGAATCTCTTCTTATTCGGCTGGGGAGCTGCGTCGCCGTGTGTTGGCTGCCAAGGCACAAGTAGCAGATAGTTCCTCACTGAGAAACGAGGAGACATGCAAAGTTTTCGGCTGTTGAGCCTTCTGTGTGTGAAGAAGAAGGCCGAAGAAGGTTCGGGAGGTTGCGTTTCTCCTTTCTGTTTTTTCAGCGTAGAGTTAACCTTCACTTGTGCCTCTGTGTTTTATTCAGAGAGATCTTCAGCACACAGTTCACACA